TGGAAAGGACCTTAAGGATCATCTAGTTCCAGCCTCCCTGCCATGGGCAGCTGCACCTTCCACTAGTGGCAACCTGTGCAGTACCACAGGGTAGCACTGGGCCCCGGCTGGTTGTCGGCATCTGGTCAGAGCAGAAGACCTGATGCCCTCACTGACAAAGAGATGTCCAGGGATGCTGCCTAGCCACCACCACCCTCCTTTACAGCACTCAAGTCAGGGCCAATACAGCAGCACAGTTTTAAGGCATCAGATCAGTATTTAATCAGACCAAGGGGCACTTCCTTCTACTCTCCATCACTCCTTATGTCCTTGAGCCACTCCTAATGACTTTCTTACAGTCAGCCCTGGATACCATCCTTTCCTGTATGACTGGACTAAAGTTCCATACAGATACGTCATAGTGGCAGGGAGGGGAGGGAAGAGAAGGAGGCTGTGGCTGAGGACGGAAAGGAGACACAGAGACACATGGATGGTGGACACCAAGCAGTGACTTTGGGAGTCTATCTGCAGCATTTCTGGCTGTCAAGCCCAGAGGGCTGAATAAGACTCAGGCAAGACACTAGCTATGCCAGCAAAGGAAAAACATCATAGTGACAGGGGTGGATACTTCAAAAGGAAAGAGGGAAAGCAGACTTCATCTTGGTGTCAGTGCAGACACAGAGTTCTGTCTCTCGTGTGGCCATGGACACCCACGCAGGTGTTGTAAACCCTGGGTATACTCGTTGGCTGTCTGGCTGCTGTCTTAGTTCTGTCTCACTCCTGGGGGACTGAAGCCCTCCAGTGTAAATTGGGTTTCCAGCCTTTACCTCATATCAGATTGTGGTTGGGTCACCCTGTCCTTTGTCTATGTTGCGTCCTCCAGGCTGGTTGTATCCCATTCAGAGTGCCTCAGGCAGCAGCTTCCCTGCCACCATCCCTCCTGGTAGAGCATCCCTGAGGAAGGACAGCCTGGCATTTTCTGTAGCAGGGTGCTGTCCCCAGCAGATGTCAGGCTCACACCTCAATCTTGAGGGGACATTTCAGGGCTCAGGCTCAACAACCAGACTCACAGTTGACTCATGATCACACAACTTTTTTGCAAAGTGTGGAAATATTAGAGCACCCAGATGCACTAGGCACTTGCTGCTTCTTCATACCAGCCAACACTGATGCTCAAGCGCTCATCTGTTTTTAAGCTGACCCTCTTAGCTATTTAAAATAGAAGCAAGTCAGTTTACCTTTGAAAGGTAGGTCCCGTGGTCTGAGCTAAACCATGCACACTTTGCTGGCTCCCTGGGGCTTGCATGGGCAGAGCTCAGAGACCAGTCATTGGGTTTGGTAAATGAGGGTAGAGTAGGCTAGTGAGGAGACTTCAACGGGTGCTGACAGCTGGTGCAGCTAAAGGAAGGACCCTGGGGAGCTTAGAGATATGAGAAGGGCTGAGATGAGCTGCTAGGGGATGCAAGCACTGGAAAATAAGAGATGCTGAGAGAGCCAGCTGGGGGAGGTTAATAAAGCCTGCCTGTCAGGGGAACTATCTGACAGGCAGACAGCCAGAGGAGGGGAAAAAACAGCTCACTCGAGTCCACGGACCCATAACTGGGTTATGGAGCTATGTAATCCACTTAAGCTCTAAAACTGTCCTGCCTCCCTCCCCCAACTTTAACTCTTCTCTCCTGTACCTCTAATATTCAGAAATGTTTCCTCGAAGCTTCGCAGGAAGTCTTGACAGTGGTTCAATTTGATTAGTGTTAGCTGCGGAGTTTTCCCAGAGGATCTCGGGAAATACAGAGATACATACCCCCGAGAAACCTGCAGGGTATTGACGAGCTCATACACTGTCTGCAGCACAGGAGAGACCTGCTCTGTAAGAGGGCCATGCACACCAGCAGAGAGACAGGGGTGGGGTTTTTTTAACCTGCATTAGGAAATATATGTGGACACTTAATGCAGTTTATTCAAAAACAGCTGTCTTCTCCATTATGTGTCATCTACCCTGAGAGAGATTGGAGAAGCACAAGACGCAAAAGGCCTCTTAGATCATCTAGCCCATCACCCCACAAATGAAGAATTAATCCCATTAAGGGCCACTATTGGCTTCGGTGGCTTCAAGATTTGGTCCTAATTGCACAAGCACAAAGCCATTACAAGACTGCAGTCTGACAGAGAAGCTTTCTTTTTTTACAGGGTATATAATTTCCTTAATTAAAGGAGCTTATCTACATGCTAATAATTAGAAAAATATTGTCCACTTTTATTCTCATTTCATTCTTATATCCTGGTGCGCTGGATATAGGCAGGAGGTGAGAATGTGCAAAGATGCATATGTACTATGAAATCAACAATGAACACGCATATCAAAAAGACAGGTCCTTGCCCATGAGGGGATTATAATCTAATTTATTATATGGATTGCAGCAGTGCATTACAAGCAAAAAAAAAGTTCATTTTATAGGAAGGATAAGGAATGTAGCATCAAGGGAGGGGTCCACATTGATTTTCACATGCTTTGGATCAGAAAGCTACAATAGCCGAACACATTGCAGGCTATGTACACATTTTGTTTGTTCTCTAATTATTAATTTAAAAAGGACACTCAGTCAATGAGGGGACTGGATGATAAATGTTCCTGGAAAAATGAACAAGAAGGGATTTATGGAATGAGAGAGACAGAGTCCAGATGGTTGTCTCCTGCAGACAGGGTACAGTGGGAGAAGGTAAGAGGGCAGTAGGAGGAAGAGGACAAGGCTGAATGCATTGACAGTGTCAAGGGTGCAACCAGTGATGGACCACAGGATGGGAAAATGTGCAAAGAAGCCCCTGAAGAGAAGATCAATATGGAAGTAAAGTGGAAAATTCAAGCAAGGAATACATAACTGGGGAATCAAGGTATCACTGCTATTTCTTCCTCCTCCTGCATATTGCAGATGACAACTAAGAGCTCAAAATCTTTGCACATCAATTAAATTAATTATAAAATGACAGCAAGAATAGCAACAAATTATCAAATTCAACTTTCATTTGCAAGTTTTTAGTGGATAAACACCGTGGTCATCTTCCTCAGTAAAAAAAGTGTGTGCCACCATTGATCAATGCTAATGGCTTTCAGTAAAGGCTAATTAAGTAATGCTCTAAGATTGGACAGAGCATAAGCCAAGTCCCAAGCATGCCCTAAAGCCAGTCTGAGGGGAAAAGAGAAAGGGATCTTACCCCTATGAAGCTACAGGGGATTATTTCACCTACTGCAATCTTTAATAAGACTATCAATCAGCCAGAAGGGATGTTTATCCCTGTCTCCCAACATATCATACAGAGGCATTCATTCCCCAGACATGAGCAAATAATGAATTGTTCTTTGAACCAAGAGGAAGATGAGACCTATCTAGTCACCACCTCAATCAAAATGGAAAGCACCAAGTAAAAAAATATAACCCAAGGAAAGACAGGAGAGCAAAACAGATTAAATATATGTATAAATATTCATATATAATAAGAGATGGGATTGGAACAAAACAATAAACCTTAACAAACCTAAAGGACAATCCAAGAGATTTCTCAGAGTTGCTAATGGGAGAGACACGTAAATTGTTACTGGCATCTTAACTTCTGCTGAACATCAGTGTAACAAGTAAAGTAAGGAGAGGGAGTCAAGGCCCCAGAAATCAGAGTTGTGTCTGCTGCCTCACACTGCTTAAACTACTGAGATATTAAAGAAGACCCTCAGCTTTCTTTATAAACATTTTGAAAAATTGATAAAGCATCCATCCTTCATGGTTGCAGATAAAAGCCTGGAAACACAAAGCAATTGCACCCTAATGGCAAGTGAAATGAACTCAAACCTTGTTATTTTGAAATACATGATTAGCTTAAACTCTCAGGACTGATCTCTGTGGGGACGGTCTCTTGTTTTGAGAGTGCTTAGGATTGAGAAAGAGGTGCTCAGAGGAGAGGGAAGGAACACTCCTTTCTGTATGCCACTTAGACCAGGTGAGAAGAAGAAAAGGAGACGATCAAAGTGACAGATATAAGAAAGAGATCTTTGCCTTGTTAAACACAGGTGACTGATATTTACAACATCCTTAATTTTTGTTTTGGCTCTTTTCTATCCCTTCTACACGGCAGTCTACAACCCCCCAATGGGAATCATACTGCCCAAAAAATCTGTAGTAGCTTGTACCTATGTGTATATGTATGTGCGACACTGCAGTTTGTATCACTCTTCAGAACATTCTATATGCATTAATTAAATACCATGATAATTCTACAGCCACATTTGCAAAGATAATACCTTGACATTGCTGATGGTGAACTCATTGAAACTCTCATTTAAAGAGTGGCATATGAGGAAGCAAAGGATATTTTTTAAGCAAAAATGTTTCTGAAGGGATTAAAAGTGATGAAGCTAGTGAGCTTTCTAATGCAAGCTCTCCTACGTCAGACTGCAAAGAACAGTGGCCATTAGTGGTGTATTCCATATTACACTAGGAAAACGTGCTTGAGACTCAGACTGAGTTATTTTACTGTTCAGTTCATTTTTGTTACTGATCTCTACTTTTTAACAGTTCTGCTGCTAACATCTTCATGTATAAATGGTCAGATCAATGGTTCAAATCCTGAAGTGACAGGCAATTATTTAAATAATCTTTAATCAAACGTTAATAAATCTTGTTTGTTCCCATATCCTTTTGAACTGTGGTAACCATGAAAGGTAATTAAAACGGCACATAGGTGTCAGTGGAGGTGTGCACTTAGTAGGAATGCAGCTCTTAGTTCACACAAATTTAACATAGCACCACTGAAATAGCAGAAAAGATAGTCACGACAATCTAAGGAAATCAGGAAAACGAGCCATTGGGGAAAGTAATATATACTGTTAGAGTAGTTGATACAATTAAGGAAATTATAAAGCTTTCAGGCACACAAACTCTTCCTAATGTCCTCCCTTCCCCCTCCTTCAGTACCAGCCAGCCTAATAAAAGATATTGCAACTCCGTACAAGCCTTGCTTCATTTACGGAGAAATGGACTTGTGATCAGGTGAAAAAATGCAACAAGCAGGACTGGCCATGCGTGCAAAACAGATCCTGAATTATTGAAAGGCAACCATGTGGCTGCCACCCGAGCAAACAGAGACGAACAATAAGAGAGGAAGTCAGAGGAGCAGCTTCTATGCTTGTCTGTCATTCACCCCAGGTGCCTTTTATTTGTATCCATGTTTATTAGCGGCTTAATAAAAGAGATTGTCTACATGCACAGCCCCACACACATTACCTCTGTATATGGGCTCACTCTCCCTTACTTTCTGCTGTCTGTCATCTAAAACTGGGGAAAATGAAATGGAGAATTGGTTAGAATTTGGCCTGTGTTCCTACACATGTCTCTGGGTTAGACCTCAAGATGATGTAAACTGATGCTGACCCACTGAACTCACGTGGGTCTGCTGAGTTATGCCAGTGAAGGATCCAACTTGTTTACTTATCAGATGCTTATGTCTTACATGATAAATTGTTCTTGTACTGACAGTTAATAAAAGACATATTTATGTAAATGAGAGAGAGGGCTCATGCTCTCCAATGTTATGCCAGACTGGAGTTCATTTAGAAGGATTGCTTTCTCCACAAAAAATATCAGTTGAAAGACAGACAGACAGGTGTCATGTTTGTTTTGGGGCTTCAGTGAAATGAAAAACCACACAAGTTTTTTTTTTTTGGTACAACAAATGCAAACTTGTTATCAAAACAGAATTTTCATTTGGCGGCAATGTTTTTTCAGGTTCTGCTGGAAAGCATTCAGCCTGGAGAAGGTCTTGGATTCCCAAAGGCTTTTCTGTTGTGGGTTTTTTCCCTCCAAACATGTCAGTTCATCTAATAAAAGAGGCTTCACAGCCTAAAAACCTCACCTCGCTTACACCTTGAAACTTTCATACCAATTCTATAACAGCTTATATCAGCTATTCACTAATGATGGTTTAGTAGCAGCAAGTGGGGTCTAATATGCACCATCTTCAGATATGTGAGAATTGCATATGTGTGTTGCAAATGCCTGAGAACCTGCAAGACCAGCTTGTGTTCCTCCCCAAAAGGGAAACTATGAATCAGTCACAATATACAGCTGCAACATAACAAAGAGTATTGTCCTTTCATTTTCTGTGACAACTGGAACACAGACACTGAACAGCAGGACAATGGAGTTGTGTCAACATGCAGGAGGATTTCAGAGTGCTTTGCAGATGAGTCATCCCAGTCTGTTATGGAACACTAAACCTTTGGCATTACAAGACTTTCTCAGTGATTTGATTCTCTTTATTTTTGTCTTAATTACTTCAACCCATAATTTCAGATAGTGTGAAAGGAGTGCATTAGATGCTTGCAGAAAAAAAGGGGTGGTCTCAGTGGAGAATGGTCAAATTTCCCCAGGCTTTTTCATTTGACATGTTAACTCTGACTCCCTGCCATACATGCACACAAACCCACACTTAAATATAAAATCTTCTACTTGTGTTATAGGTGAGAAAAATGTTGTCAAGATATAGCAGGAGAAAAGCCTTTGGTATTTGTTATAGGTATATACATTAACACAAGCATCTTCCCTGACCATGGCTTTCCAATATGTTTAGAGTTGGACCTCTTCTGTATATTCATTCATACTCAGTGCTACTGGTTACTCTGTAGTGCCCCTGTCTTTACTGCTAGGCACTTTTCCATTATTGTCTTTAACAGAACACCTTGCGTGTGTCCTCACAATTAAAAGAAAAACTCATCTCCCTTCCCTGGGCCTTTGGGACTTGAATGAGAGAGTCACCCTACTTCTTTTCCCCATTGTTACTCTAGGTGCACAATCATCATCTTTAAATGCAGTTTAAGATCACTGATTCTGTATTTGGTAACAATCTGGCAGAATTTGGCACACTGCACAGGGGTGAGGTCATTTGTAGAGCAGTGAATCCATGGGGATCTGTGGCTGTCTTGTTTGTTATTAATCTGTTCCTCCCAAGAACTCTTCTGCTGTTTTAGCTTTTAATCTAACAAACATTTTGAGTACCATTCCTTTTTTGGAGAGATTATTTCCTCCATTGTCCTAAATACTGGTGCTACAGCCTCAGAACAACTTGTAGGGCTGGCGAGTGGGGCAGTGCTTTCATTTGGAATCTGTGTGTTTCATCGCCTGTCAGAGAGAGCACATCTAGCTCTTTGTGGGATTAACGGTGACAAGGAACATTTGCAACACGAGTTGTTTTGCATAGTGGTGTCCTTTCCCCTGTGTTGATAACACATAGATTCTCTCTGCTACTCATTCACCTCCTGTACTGCTCATCTGCCTTACCCAGCTAAAAAACTTGAAGCACCTCCTGCCCTGATCATTGCCTTGCATATTTAAGTCATTAGAGCGAGGCACTTGGTGCACACTAGGGATGTGGTGAAAGCTGATCCTACAAGAAATATAGCAATCATTCTGCAGCCAGTGCTGTCTAGATCCTCATCCCAGTTTCATTTGAGTCCCTGACACAGGAATTATTGAACTGGACTAATGCACAGCAGAAAGTAAATGTTTATTGAAGAACTGCTCAAGTTTTATCTAGCCACATATTAAATGATCTTGAATTTGGGCAGAAATGCGCAAGGGAAGAAAACAAAGCAGCAAATGATCTGTCTGACAGGCCTTTGGAATCGAGCCGTAACAGTCAAGTCTCCGTGCCTATGTATGTGTGCTGTGGAGGGAGAGGGGGATGCACAAAGGGAGAGGAAGCCAGGCAGGGGGAATATATCTGTATGAGCTAATCTGTTTCTTGCTTTCTTCCTCCCCTCCCCATCTCCCTTTCTCTGCCTGCCTCTCCAGGGAGATGACTCACACCTGCTCTGCCCTGATACTACCATTTCGCATCAGAAGCACACAGTCATTCTGAAGTCACCCAAGCTGTTCTATGTTAGATCCCTGCATTGCTTACATCTGCTCTTTGGTGGGCAGATTCAAAGGCTGTGATGGACAACATGCCTGTAACTCAGCACAAACTCATGAAATCCAGCCACCTGCTCGTGACACACTGATGCCTTGATGGCATCATGGGCTTCTGAGTGCTCCAGCCTATTGGGAGTGGGTCAATGAATCTTGTTTGTCAGAGAGATGGTTTGTATAAGGACCATGGCAAAGCATTCATCAGTTGACATCAGGTCCTCAGATAGACAAATGACTTTTCAATTCTAAAGGCCTGAGTCATTTCATCTGCATCTGACCTTATTCCACCTACACCTCCCATCTTAGCTAAAACATGCTCTTTCACCTGCATATAAACGACAGTGCCATTCTACACAAGTTCCCAAAGTAGTTTGAAAACATTAATGGATGAAGAGTCAGGACCTCATCATAGTGTGGGTAATCATTATTTTAATTTACATTTTAGGAAACTAAAGGCATAGAGATAATCAGCATCTTCCCCAAGGCTATATAAGAAATAGAGACAGAATATTGGAAAGGAATGGGGCAGCGTGGTGTTGTATATGGCACTGTATTTGAGAGGCAAACCCACTATTAAGCTCAGTGGAAAGGACAAGCAGGCATTTTGCACATGCTAGTTTTGCAAAGTTTTGCATCTCTAAGTTTCTCTGTGAGTTTCAGTTTCAAGTGAGGGACTTTCAGTAATAATAATCGAATTTGACCACCTTTGTGGCTCAAAGCAAGGCTACAGACTGAACAAAAGCTCAGGAAATCTTGGAGGGTTCTGGGTCCTGATGCCCACTGAAACATTGCACAGGAGAAACTGCACATTATTTTGAAAGTCACCAAGAAAGTATTGTACACCCTTTTTATCCTATAATTTGTTTTTCTTCATTGATGGGTACACCTAAAGTACCAATCACTATAGTATCCATAGCTCCTTACAGGTATTATCAAAGACAGCAAAAACGGTTTGACTTGAGCTGTCAGCAGCAAGTTCTCTATGTGCATAGATACTGCACTTATCTAGCGCACACCTCTACAGCAGACAGCTAGAATTATCTCAAAAATATGACAAATGAAGGCGTGACGGTTTTCCCTAACTAGGAAGATGTTTTCCTTCAGATATGATCCCCGTACCATGCTCTGACAGTTTCAAGCTTAAAGCTGATCTCCAGGAGAAGCCAGATCTAAGCTGTGAGCCTTTCACAGTGGCAGCTAAAGTCCCTGGAACAGGCTTCCTGGGAGCATGAGTGTCGTCTTCAACCAGAGCTGTCACTCCAGCTCTTACAGAAACTGGTGGACAAGTCAGATGCCCATCACAGCATGTATGATCTAATTTTTGGAAGTGCTGTGGACCTCTAGTGACATGAACCCAGACTTTCAAACAATAAGGAGAAAGAGGAATTTCCTTTCTCCTCAACACGAGAGAGGCAGCCATCCTTTTACAATTAAAATAATCATGAGCATATGTCTGACTTCTTGCGTAAGGCAGTAAAATTACATCCACAGTTATATTTCACTCTCATTTTTGGGGGGAAATATGATCCTGAAATAGAGCCTTGCCCTTTCCCAGTGATAACTTCCCTGTTCTATTATAGGAGGGATAAAACAACAGTTCAGCACAGGTTTCCAAGAGGGCTTTTACACATCTACAGAGGAGAGGATGCATACTTTTTTTCTAGAGATTTTTATCTCTGTTTAGTTCAGCCATTCATTGTTCCAGATGTCACTGGAAGTCCCAGTTAAAGGCCTCTTTTATATATATTCCAGAGTTTTTCTTCAATTCAACGTTCCCTCACTGAGGCCCTGGATTTATACTCTGCCTTCTTCTCTGCCTCTCCTGGATATCTGTCTTCTTCCTATCACTTTGTTCAAACTATGATCCTTCCTCAGCTTTCTACCCCCTACAATGCTGCTTTCATTCATTCATTTCTGCTTCAGCTTTCGCTCCGGCATTGATCAGCAAAGGCATTTGGGAAGTACAAAATCTGCCCCATCCCTACAGCTTGATACTGATCAGGCTTAGCAGATACATCTTACAGCCTGTTTTGGCTGGGATAATTTTCTTCCTAGTAGCTGGTACAGTGCCGTGTTTTGGATTTAGTACAAGAATAATGTTGATAACACATGGGCGTTTCAGTTGTTGCTAAGTAGTGCTTACACTAAGTCAAGGACTTTTCAGTTTCTCATGCTCTGCCAGCAAGAGGGTGCACAGGAATCAAGTGCGATCACATGGCACACACAGGAAAATCAAGGGATCAGACCTAGCCAGCCTGGGTTTAGGAAAGGCAAGTCCTCCTGGACCGACCAGATTTCTTTTTATGACCAGCTGACCCACCTGGTGCATGAGGGGAAGGCTGTGGATGTAGTCTATCTGGATTTCAGCAAAGCCTTTGACATGGTCTCCCATAACATACTCCTGGAAAAGCTGGCAGCACACTGCTTGGACAGGGGCACTCCCTGCTGGGATAAGAACTGGTTGGAGGGCCAGGCCCAGAGAGTGGTGGTGAACGATGCTGCATCCAGTTGGCGACCGGTCACTAGTGGTGTCCCCCAGGGATCAGTGTTGGGCCCAGTTCTGTTTAATATTTTTACTGATGATTTAGATGAAGGGACTGAGTCCACCAGCAGTCCATCAGCAAATTTGCAGATGACATTAAGTTGAGGGGGAGTGTCAATCAGCTGGAAGGCGGGAGGGCTCTGCAGAGGGACCTGGACAGGCTGGAGAACTGGGCCGATTCCAACAGGATGAGGTTCAACAAGGCCAAGTGCCGGGTCCTGCCCTTTGGCCACAACAACCCCCTGCAGCGCTACAGGCTGGGGACAGAGTGGCTGGAGAGCAGCCAGGCAGAAAGGGACCTGGGAGTTTGTTGTGGCCACAGTGCTGGACCTGGCACTTGGCCTTGTTGAACCTCATCCCATTGCAATCAGACCATCTCTCCAGCTTATCCAGGTCCCTCTGAAGAGCCCTCCTGCCTTCCAGCAGATCAACACTCTTCCCCAACTTGGTGTCAGCTGCAAATTTGATAATGGTACACTCGATCCCCTCATCCAGATCATCAGTAAAAATATTAAATAGAACTGGGCCCAACACTGATCCCTGGGGGACACCACTAGTGACCCAACTGGATGCAGCACTGTTCACCACCACTCTCTGGGCCTGGCCCTCCAGATAGTTCTTAACCCAGCAGGGAGTGCCCTGTCCAAGCCGTGGGCTGCCAGCTTTTCCAGGAGTATGCTGCGGGAGATGGTGTCGAAGGCTTTGCTGAAGTCCA